TGTCTTTAACTGCTGCAAAAATTCTGGTCTTATAGATTTCCCTGAAAAACGAGCTACGACTAAAGTAAAATATTTGCTACCAATCTACCATATTTTATGGAATTTCACCAAAGGAAACATGAGAAAATTCATTGTCAGTTTTGCTTTTTGTGCTCATGTTGACGTAATAAAATATCAAAAAACACTGATGTTTTCCTTTGGATGCGCGCAGATTACTTCCCCAGTGCTCGCGCAATCGTAAAACTATAGGGAGCCACCTTAAGCTCTGACCATTCAGTTAATGACATAAAAATTTTGACATTTGCTGGGTGTTGGGTTACTCTAATTTATTAGCTTGGGAGAAGGGGGAGGAATGACCCGCACCGTTTAAAAGGTTCTTTGTAATTAGCCAAACAAAGAAATAGGTAAACAACACAAACAGTGCCCCAAACACTAAAAACAAAGAGGTGCAAATTAACAAGAATGAATCAAAATAGAGGTTTTAAAGAGGTGTATGTCAACTAGGAGGATTTGGAGAACTGCACAGGTCTCCTTTTCAAGTAAGTTCAAACCCTCTATTGAAACATCTTTTCCACAACAAGTAAAACTTGTAAACATACCCCAGTTGAGTTGCAGTTGCTGCACTGGGACCACCTTTTGGTTCCTCTCCTAAGAGTGCTTGCATGTCGTCATTCCCAGGTGGTTCATGTATCTGTTGTTGATTATGCACATGTAGTTCGGCCTAATCAAAATCACCAATACACATGGTTCTAATGCTACCCTAAAAATACAGCTAAGAACAGTGCAAATACCAAATATGATATGCAACAAAAAATGACACACTGCATGCTTATTTCTGTTAATATGTTATTAGTCCATGGTACACACGTACAGCTGTATGTTACAAGAAAGATCCATCCAGATAGATGCTCAAGGCACAATTGGAGTATTGTGAATAAAAATTCCAAACAAGGGGATAAACATTCAGTAATCAAATCTTTTTGGAGGAAATATAGTTCTACCCTTCACCTCTATTGCTCATTTAGTTTTATCACACATCTTTTACATGTTCTAGCAGGACGCCGTTTAACATTTGCATTTTCCATCTTTTGCTGAAGAAGGCAACAGTAGTGGCCGAAACGTCCGATAACCATATTTTTAGCCAGTGACAACCATTTAATTCCTTTTTACCAATTTTTAACATGCCTGGCTACACACCGAACATTTTTAACCCTCCCTTTTTCTTCATCCTTTTTTGGACATCAGCACATGGCATTAATTTCATTTTTTGGATGATCGAAATCCAAGTACCATACGTGATCAGGAAAAGTTTGCCAAGTTATGCCAAATAAATTTTAATTACCTGTTTTCAAGAGAAAAACAGAAATAAAAAATATGATGAAAAAGTTTGCATACAACCAGTCCTGCATACAACGGTGATGCAATTCAAAAAGATAGTTTGCAAGTACATTCAGTTTACCAATGGGCAAATCCACATTCTTCCAAGCACAACGAAATCATGGTTTATTGCCATGAAATACCTCCTGTCTGAGTTCAAATGAAAACCAAATACCTTGGCAGATTTTGGGTTACTTTGCCAAAGGATTTAAGAGAAAATAGCAGAGAGAGGAAATTAGCAGAAGATAATAAAATTAGTAATATTCATATATAGCAGTAATATAGGAACAGGAAGATGAGCCTCTTGCTCTTTCTGAGTACAGAAAGAAATAAAGAACTTTAAAAATATGTCAGTCATAAATACATATCCACGTAGAATGTATAAAACAGTAACTGGGAACACCTCACATGTCTCATGCTTGTAAGCCAATTGCTACACATGCTACAATAGCAACCCCAAAATCAGCACCAAAGTATCAGAACTCCCCCAAGATGCAACACTTGTCTATATATAAACAATAACCTACAGTTGGCAGGAAAATATGCTCAAATATTTGTCAGCAAACAATTTGCTCCAAGATGCAAACTGTGAGCTTTGAAGAACAGATAATGTCCAAGAACAACTACCCAAGCATATTTTTGTACCAAGTGGAGGTGGTACTCTGTTTATTATCCTTCACATATTTTTCACAACATCTGCAGTTTTGAAGATACATATATAAAATATGAATATCAATTGGATTTTCCCCTGTTTTAGCTGGCCAGGGGAATATTCAGTCAGGTACACCTTTAAACCAATCACGCATAAGCAAAAACATTTGATGAATTTTAAAATTAGATATATTTCCCTTGGGGGAGGGGTGGGGGGTAGTCAAAAGATCACCGCTTTAAAACCATCTTTACTCAATAGAGTCAAGAGAGGCACTCTGACCACATGTGTTGTCCAAATCTCAATTTTCTGGATTTCAGATTTAACTCTGTGATTTTGAACTGTTGTTCTTCCCTATTCATAATCTCCATTGCATCCAGTTTCTTGATTGTACAAGACTATGTTTGTTGGCAAGAACAAGAATGATAATCTTAGGTCGTGTTCTATTTGGATTAACTGTTTCTGGTAGGTTGGGTTGGTTGTGTTTTTTCATGTGCTACTGGGGAAAAACTGTTTTCACTTGGTTTGGTTGATCAACTTTTTCAACCAGCCCTGCACCAGGTTGAAACAGTTAGAAAAGCATTTGCGTGATGATGTTGCATAATTGTAGCTCACATAAGGACTACTCCCTGGAGTCACCGCATTTCGACCAAAAACAGTTGGAAAAGTGTTCCATTGAGAAACGTCAACCGTATCAACCCAAACCAGTTGCATCTGATACGGTTGATCCCAATAGAATATCACCTTAGTTTCACTGCATTAGATACATGAAGCAAACTTAACCCAAAGTCAGATATGAAGCCTAGCTACCTCTTCAAAGAAGGTCTGCGTTTTACGTAAAATGTGTTTTAGTTCTGTCAGCTCCAAGAAGCTCTTCATGAGTGCTTCATAATTTGCATTGCTGTCTTTCATTTCATTTTCAAGCTGCTCAAACTGGGCCTGGAAAACAAAATCAAGATTTGTCAGCGTAAAAAATTCTCCCTGCTGAAACACTAGTGCAATAAAAATTAAAACACGGGATTTGGGAGTATATGATATTATATATATATATATTTATATGTTATTCTTTCAGTGAAATAACAGGTATAACACTCCCTGCTCATAAAATTACTTCTTTTAAGCTTCAGTGGATGCACAGCATGTGATATTCACCCCTTAAAATACATTGCAGTCCATGAGGAATAAGCAAGTGTTTTTCCAGCATGGTTTACAACAATTTTGATATGAACGTATATGGAATTATATATAACAACTTGACACTCATTCACTTCTAATGGTCCCAGTCTCTTTGGCTAACAAAATTACTCTTCCTTTCCTTACAAAGTGCAGAAAGGAAATCTATGTTATTTTACTTTTCTTGTTTTTCACTTTTCTTAACCAACCTCAAGATCAATCATTTCTCGTGGCTGGGGAGCTTCTGGATTTTCTCCAGTGTCTGTGACATGGATATCAGCCCTTTCAATCTCCTTGTTTAAAAACCCTATTGGAAAAAAAATTATATAATGAATCCTGTGCAAGTAAGCATGGTAGAATCTTGTATGACTTAAGCTTAACCTTGACATAAAGGAAGAAAGCACATGGTGTTAAGGTTCCTGTATGTATTGAGGGCCAAAGATGATTCACCTTCATTATTTGGTCACAAAAATCTAATAGTCACTTACCCTCCTTCCCNGGGGGGGGGGGGGAGAGGGGGAGAGAAAGAAAGTTGGTATGATGGGGGAAAGGGGAGACATGGGTATTCAGCACTAGGATATTTTTTCTTAGAGAAGGGAGTGGATATGAAATGGAAAAGTCTGTACTTTAAATGTTAGTTAAGACTATCCGATGTGATATCAGTATGTGCATGTAGATGTTGTGTCCAAGTCTACACGAGAACAGGCATGACCTCAGAATGAATAGTTCCCAAACTACAGACCTTTTAGTTACTAGTTACACTTCAGCCTCTAGCTGACAAGTTTAACTTTGAACAGAAGTTCTTAATTTATCAATCAGAATGTTCTACTTACTAAGTTTTCTCTCCATCTCCTCACATCGCCTCACTTCATTTACAAATTTGCGTTGAAAAGCATTTACATCTGGGTTTAACTGGAGAGGAAATTTATTTATGGAATTAAACCAAATGTTTCCTTTAGTAATAAGAACAAAAAAAATAATTGGTCTCCTCAGAAGAGTTAAGCTTACGACCCAAACATTGCCACCCTACCTCCCACAAATTAAAACCACGGTAAAACACTTCCACTGTTTGTTTCGAACGTCAAAAGCCGTACAAATATTACCAGGAAACGGGGTAAATTCTTAACGAAATTCAAGAACCAAGAAATTGGTCATTTCAGCTAGGTGTACATTTCACCAGGACCGTATTGTACAGGTAGATTTACAGATCAAACCTCGACAATCTAAATACTTACATCTCGAAATTGCACGAGACCCTAAAAATATAAAAGGATAAACCAACTATGTCAGTCTCATGTCAAATCAGTTTAGTTTTTGACCACAACTAGATGACAATTTTTCTCAAGTGATGCACAACTGAAACAAACATGGCAGAAAGCACACAATAATTTCTTACCAACTCTCCGAGTTCGCTGACACATGAATAAGCTGCC